CGGGTCACCTACGAAAGCGTCCCCATGGCAACCATCTCAAAGAAGAATGGTGGTTCCAAAGCTCCTGGGCAGCTGAGGGGCATGCAGCCTCTGTTATCGACAGACTCACCTGCTCTCCCTTCTCTGGAAACCCTGAGGGCCATATTGGACAAGGCACTAACAGACTGTGGGGACCTGGCCTTAAAACAGCTTCATTATTTACGACCGGTAGTTGTCCTCGAAAGATCTAAATTTTCCACGCCCCTCATAGACTTTTTTCCAACAAAAAAAACAGACCAACTTTGTGTGGGAAGTTCATGAATTATTGTGTTTTATTTAAAAAAAAATCAAATGGGGGATGGGGTGGGGAAAGATTTGCCTCCACTACTGCTGAGGGGGGGTGGGAATATCGCTAACTGGTTCAGTGCACATGTTGTTGAGGTTAGGTTAGGTTGTTCAGTTTCCACAATTGTACGACATCCGGCTACAGTATTGGCTGAGTTCCTATAGCTCCCCCATTTAAAAAAAGAAGAAGAGAAACCCTGATATTTTGGTGCTAAATAACAGAATATTGAGGGGTTGGGGCCCATCCCTCTTGCAAAGTTAACTGTGCATGATTGTATATGGAACAAGTACTTTAGGGTACCAGGGTTGACGGGAGGGGGGTGGGAAGCGGAGCTCTTACTTGACTTGAATGTGCACCTCGGAGTGCTTCGTGTAACATATTGTACACTACAGCATCTTATATTTTTTGAGTTTTGAGTTTCAATAAAAGGAATTTTTTCACCCATTTTTTTTATTTTGGTTGACTGTACAGCCACAGCTTGTCCATAGCTCATGACACATTTGGGTTGAGTTTGAGGATTTGTTTGGGAGGTTTTTTTGTGTATAATGAATCTTGGTACCTTTTACATGAATGTGGAACAAGTGTGTTTATGTCTAAAGCTGGCCGGAAAAGTGGTAGCATAGCCCGTTGACGAGAAACGGGAGGGGGATGCGAGCAAGCTCTTAAAAGTTTAAAATGCCATAAGGTATGCCAAGAAGGAGTGAGGAGCGACCTCGTTATGAGCCAGTGCTCGTTATGAGCCAGCTGGTCCTGCAGAGTGAAGCGGCCTTGCACATCGATAATTTGGCAAGCAATCTAAGCCATACTGTGCACTGTGAAGAAAGACCTCTGTTCTGTCCTGCCATGCTGTGGGCTGCTAGCCAGTCGAATTTGCGACTGGGGGTTATTTTTGACCTCTGGTAAATACTTTACCACTGAGACTGGTCCTGCAGAGCTGCTCCAGAAAGAAGGCTATTGTCACCCAACCACAAATCCGCTATCTTAGCTCCTGTTTAATTTTGGAGCGGTCTACCATGGTGGAAGACACACCTCCCCCATCTGGGGCTGCACCATATTGCAGTAATTTTTATTTCAAATTTCTTGATAGGTTTATCAGCATCTGGTGGTTTCCTTCACTAATGATAAGCATAATTCCCCTGCAACCCACCCCAGCTTGATTTGCCATTGGTTAGCACAATTTTTTTTTCCTCTCAAAGATTTAAATTTCTGATCAAATCGTTCAGCTTCATTTACAGCTAGCAAATATCACAGAGGTACAGAGTTGCTAACTGAGTTTCTACCAGCTGCAGCCCAAACCTGTGCATGTTTACTGTAAAGTAAGACTGCTGCATTTGGGGGGGCGGATCGCAAGTACGTAATTGCATAGAATTGCGGCCTTAAGAATCCTTGCCTGCTCCTCCTCACACTTGGTCAATTCTCCAGTACAAGAACTTGTCCATTCTTGATGGAGAGAAAAAGAGTCTTGATTTGGCTTTAGCTGCCTTTTAAATAAATCCTTCTTGCCATACCTTCTATTCCTGTCTTCAGTAACTTGCCAAAACTAACACACGTACACATGTTCTCGTCAGTTTCTCTTTGGGGGCTCCACTACTTAAAATGATACCCATTTACTTGTAATAAATTTTATACTACTGTTTAGGTATGTTGGCATTCCTTTGGTTTTTTTTTTTTACCTTGTGCATATTTCGTAGAGGTGTTACTCATAAAGATGCTTTGAATGTGGCCATGAAGCCTTTTGGGATCCACACGGAGGCTACGTTTTTTAAAGATGCAGTTGAAAACTCCACCGTTGCAGTTCACCCAAGATTGAGGAAAGCGAGTCAGGATGCCTAGGGAAAGGAAGAGGGCTTTATGCCTGTAATGTGTCTCCTGGAAATCTAGGTTTGTGCCATGTGCTAAATCCTACTAGTATAAACTATTAAGACTGTTCTTCAGCATACAGCTTTGAAGGGAGGCTGTTATTGCTTAATTTTTAGGGGAGAACTCTGCTTCAATCTCGGAACTCCTCTCTCTGGCACTGGGGACAGATGCTGCTTTCCTTGGAACAAATTTAGACCTGCTTTTTGTTCTGCGTGGGATGTGTGCTGCCTTCTTTTTGCAAAATGGCTGTTCTCCATCAGAGAAAGTATGTTGCCTTGCCCTCTACAGGGTTAGGAAAGGATAAAGCCCCTTGGCTCTATTTTAAAGGGGGGGGGGTTCATGTGAGATAGAAGTGGCAACTTATAAACCCTTTGGGTTCTGACCTTGGGCAGCCCAGGCTAGCCTGAATCTCTTCAGATCACAGAAGCTAAGCAGATTGACCCTGGCTAGTATTTGGGTGGAAGGCTACCAAGGAATAACAGGGTTGTGATGTGGAAGCAGGCAATGGCAAACCACCTCTGTGCCTATAGTCTTGGGAACGCCAGGAGGTCACCATAAGTCAGCTGTGACTTGACAGCACTTTCCAGCAACGATGTGCCCTTTAGCGCCAATCCAGTGAATGTATCCCAGAGTAGTGGGAGAGAATTCATATTTACCTTTAAGAAAGCGTTCCTTGAGAATTGAGGCATTGGCTGAAAACCAGAAGGCTGATAATAAATGATGTCAAAAACATACAGCCCCTTTGGAGCTGGCCAAAACTGGCTTTTGATTCGAGGGCTGGTAATCAACTAAGCATTGGACGAGCTTTACTTCAGTCAGTATTGTAGCAAAAAAGCATACAGTGCTTTTTTCCTGTGTGGTGAGGCAGCTGTTTTCTACCCACTAACGGCGGATTGATTTTGCATACATTTATATAGGCTTTATGTAGGATGTCAGTCTCCAGCCCATGTTGGCTTGTTGCTAGTTTGGAAATGCATCCTCCTGCCTAAACTGATAACAGTCTTCAGGGAACTTCCAGTCCGTGCATTCCTCCAAAAATCCCGTAATTGCTTTTAGCATCCTAAGCAGCCTTAAACCAATGCTAATTTGTGTGAAAATGTTATATTACATGGCCACAAAGATTAAGTTTGGCACTTTTAAAATTGTTTGCCTACACCATACACCAGGACTGTACATTTGGTTGAAGAAGGAGAGAACCCCCTTATGTTTTATTAGTTTTGCTATACCAGAAGTGCCCTGTGTGGTGCCTTGGTACCCACTGACACTGCCAAGTATCTTTAAGAAGTGGGTGGGGCTTTTGCCTTGCAGGGCTTCTGATTGGTCGGGTGGGGCCTGACTGGCTGTGCAAATTCTTTTAAGAATTGCTGCTGCAGCAGCAGCTGCTATGCAGCACAAGATTCTTCACTATGTAACTAAAGGTAAGCTGTGTGTATGCAAGGAACTATTTTAAAGCAGTATATTCATTTTAAAAAAGCATCCTGTTAAACAAAACTGCTGCCTGAAATGTTGAAGAATAGCCATTAGATTTAATGCACGACCTAACTTCACTCCCTGATATTTTGTGGTTGGCTCAGATTCCAGTGGCAGCCATTTTGTGGTCGTCCCTGCCACCACCACCACCCCTGTCAGAATTGTGAAGCTGCCTGCAGGGTCAAAAAAGGGGACCTCTGCACTACGCAAGTGACGGGGGTGGGATGTCGGTGCACAGAATGAACAAGAAGCGAATGAATGCGCTTTGTTTTCCCGTTGCTTTACTTTAACAATGAAGTGGAAGCATTTTGCACTGGCTTGAAACACCATGTAGGGTTCACAGAAGGCTTCCACTGAGCTGTAAAGCATGAGATTAATGCAACTGACAGAGTAGAATGTTTCCTAATATGCACTAAAGAAACTTAATTGAATACATTTGAAGCCTGCCTTTCTGACTTGAGACCCAAGGTGGATTACAAAATACGAAAAGCAATTCAATCAGACAGTGAAGGCCTCCAATAGACAATGAAGTAGGATTAGGATCGCCGAAATGGAAAACACTGCAAACAACCGTCTTAAGGCATGGGGTAACAAAGGGAGAAGATGTAACAGTAAAAAAAGGTCATGGGGCTCCATCTCATTGAATCCAGTGGGAACTCAATACAATGCAGCCTCTAAAAAACGGCATCTAAAATAAGCATGACTTTCTTTTCTGAAGATAGTTTCAGGAAGGTAGCTGTGGCCCTGGTCACACGGAGCATTAGGCACGCTAGAGAAACGGAAGATAGGCGGATTTTCCGGGCGCGATCTCACCGCCACATCTGGGAAGCATAGAGCTCCCGTGGCGCACCCGAGGCTTCCTGCCGAAGATGCGGGGTAAAAAATTAGTACCTCGGAGGTACTAGTTTCTGGAAACCGCAGGGCAAGGGCAGGCGTCTGATCGCGTTTCCGGTGGTAGTTCTGGCGCCCGCCCATGTCCCCTCGCAAAAAGGTTCCCCCCCCAAGTCTCCACGGATGCGCACAAGCACCCAACAGAGCATGCGCACATTTCAGTTTTTAAAAAACCCACAACCCCGTTTGCCGCTCCGCTTCTTTGCCGCATCAGTGTGATCGGCACCTCCCCCCTAACCACGGGAGCTCGATGGGACCTCAACCCGATGCCTGATCGCGCGTTAGTTTGCTCCGGGGCAAACAGACACACACACACACGCATTTTCCTGCCCGTGTGGCCGAGGCCTGTGTTGGTCTGAAGCAACAGAACAAGGTTTGAGTCCAGTGGCACCTTTAAGACCAAAAAAAGTTTATTGAAGGTATAAGCTTTTGTGTGTAAGCACAATTCTTCAGAAATTTCTTTTCTGAAGTTTGGCGTATCTGATTTCTTGAAATAGATTTATACTTGAGAATTCTGCGCCCTTTGGAGGCAAATTCTGGATTATCTAGGTGTTTGGTTAATTCCAATGGGAAATAAGCATGGTGCAAACCAATGAATGATTAACTAGCGGACAATGAAATGAATGAGGGAGTCTTTAAAATGAAAATATTTCATAAAAACAAAAGAGCCTTGGTAGATCAGATCAATAGCCCATCTAGTCCAGCATCCTGTCTCCCACAGTGACTAGCCCGTTCATCTTTGTGGCTTCTGTGCAGTTCCACAGGTGGCTGGCCTGTGCCTGCACAGAAAACCACTTGATGAACAAAGGTTACAGGTAAGTGCAACCCGTTTTCCTCTGGACAGCCAACAACAGGGCTTAGAGGCCAAGGCCTTCCCCTGGTGGTGTTTCCTGCCTCTGGGATTCATAGGCTTCCCCTGAGGTTGTTTCCTGGCTCTGGGGTTTCAGTATGTTGCATCAATTTGCTAGTTGGAAATTTGTATATGAACATTTTCTGAACTGCCAAATAAGAAGATGCGGTTCCTGGCCCAAATTGCATTCCAAAAAATCCTGCATGCACCTAGACATGTTTCCCAGAGATGGTTTTCATCACCTAAAGGGGAGTGAGAGGCAGAGTGTGTCTTTGCACCCACTCTTAAAACCATGGCAATATTTAGAGGCTTGGCCGACTGCCATACTAAATGGCATTGGTTTCAAGCCCTGCACCATGTAGACTGG